TGAACTACGGCTGTGTGTATTAAATGCCGCTCCATCTGAAAGCAGGTGATGGCGATTTACTACCAATCACGGAACCGGCTTTACTGACGAAATGCGCTTGACAATCGCATGCGATTAATTGCACAGCTCTACAATAACGTATTTCCAAAATATCAATACACTGTATATTACATACACTATCTAATCCTAAATTTTCAGTGTCTCTTAATTATAACTGTCTTTTCAGAAATTCTGGTGTAGGCCTTTCATATCACAATAAAATCAGACTTATTGTTCTGAACACAATACCAACATCCTCCACAGAGAAGCCACACTGGAACGGTGGGCAGCAATCTTCACACTTGTCCTATTATATGGAAACTCCTAGTCTGCAGTGCACTTGGTTTGCTGAAGTCAGTGCTTGAGTCATGCAGGGCAGAACGCTCGGAGACTAACAAGTGTCATTGAGAAGGCCATGCTAAATAAGCAGGGCACCTAAACTCAACAGAAAACCAGCTAGGAGAATGACTGCTGGAAACATCAATATGTTTAGTATCAGAGCACTTTCCTCACTAAACTTTTACATTTGTGCGCATAGCGATGGTGTTGCTAAGCCAGGTGGCTTGTGTTCATTAATGCATCCTTGTCAGAAGCCAACCTGCCCACGGAGATTACAGTAGCACGCTGTCTTGCATTCCAAAAGAGGCACAGTTGCTGGACAAACATGCAAATTGGACTCTGGGGAGTTTTAAAAACAAACATTAAAACACCAGAGATTTAACTTTAATGCATGCATGGATAAAACAATGCAACTTGCATTTCCATAAACCTTAAATGTAAGTGTATCAAAGTACAGTTAAATAAATTAAAGTATTGTCATCATTTACTCACTCTCACGTCATTCCAAATCTAAACTCTGGTGACTTTGTTTCTTCCGTGGGACACAAAAGGAGAAGTTTAGCAGATTGTCCAAGCTGCTCATTTCCATACAACAACTTTGGGACAGCCGCACAATTCCATGTTTAACTCCTTTCAGTAATTTGATGTCCGTTTCTCACAAAGCTATCGTACAATTAATTAAATATGGAATATTGCTTATGAATCATATGGAGCACTTTCAGTGTTGGACAGCAAAATATAATTTCCATGTATATTTTTAGATTTTGACATTTTCTATTTCATGAAAACACATACTTCCTTGTTATTTTGAGCTGAATAAATAAGCACCCGCTGAAGAGCTGATTACTTTCAATGAATCTCATGAATCTGCCTGCAAACTGCAGTTAACGATTCATTCACAAATTGAACTGATCAGATTGCAGCTTTACTTGAGTCGACAACTCACTGATTCAAAGACCATGTCTGACTCGAAATGAACAGAAAGCTGGGAGATTCTCGGACCTTGAAAGTCTGCACAACTGATGGTGCAAAAGTTGCCTATATTGCAATATATCAGTCTATAATAGAGTATTGATTATTGTAAATGAAAATCCTATTTCAGACATGACTGTCAGTTATTTGTCAACAAAAACTGCTGCAAAAAGGAGAACTGTTTAGGCCCATTTTATGTTGTTTGTATGTCATAAGGTACACGGTATAAATAATGTCCATATAAATTAATATCCGTGCATCATCCCAGCAACAGTTGCAGCTTCAAAAAATATGAAACTATTTGTATTTTGTTATTCACTAGCTTGAGTTATCGGTAACAAATATTTTAGTATATTGATGTTTAATGTTTTGAAGGCGTATGAATAAATGATAAACTTGGTACATCAACCTGCACTTTTAATACTTAAAGGGATAGTTCACCCAAAAAATGAAAATTCTGTCATTAATTACTCACCCTCATGTCGTTCCAAACCCGTAAGACCTTTGTTCATCTTCGGAACACAAATTAAGCTATTTTTGATGCATTCTGAGAGCTCTCTGACCCTCCCATAGACAGCAAGGGTACTACCACGATCAACGTCCAGAAACGTAGCAAGGAGATCGGTAAAATAATCCATGTGACATCAGTGGTTCAACCGTAATATTACGAAGCTACGAGAATACTTTTTGTGTGCCAAAGGAAAAAAAAATGACTTTATTCAACAATTCGTCTCCTCTGCGTCACCCTAGCGCCATTTTGGAAAGTATCCACTGAACGCAAAGAGCGTATGTAGTAATTAATGACAGAATTTTCATTTTTGGGTGAACTAACCCTTTAAGTAGAAAAAAAAAATCAAGTAATTAAAAAAAAATAATAATTTATAATTTGAAAAAAAAAATCTAGTACTTTCAAATTCAAGTACTCAAGTGAAATTTAAAAGAAGTACTTGTAGTTTTACTGGAGTGATATATCTGAACTTGTACTCGATCGCTTGATTTGATTTGAGCACTTCGTCCACCACTGAATATTTTATGGTTAGCTTTTGTCTTTTTGACATGCAAATAGTGCTTTTTGCAGTTTGGCAACCTACTGTCATTGTACAGAAAACAGAAAATACCATTCTGCCAAACTTCTCCTTTCATATTCCACTTTAAAAAGAAAGTCATAAGGGTTTGGAACTGCGTGACAATGAGTAAATCAACTATTCCTTTGACACATGCTTTGCATTCTGGGTAAAACAAAGTCTCTGGATGTCATCTGTGATTAAATCCAGAACGAGAAAGATCAACATTTCCACATGCAGGCTAGAAACAGCAGTGTGACCAGTCCTTGCCCCTGGAGGAGACGATCGACTTCACGGCACTCCTTACATGCTTCACATGCCTCTCTCTCTCTCTCTCAAACACACACAGAGAACATGAGAAAGTGGGGCAGTGGCTGTCCTGGTTACACAGACCCACTCCCACCATCTGCTGCTGCATCATCACAGCGACACAGTCATTCACAGGAAGTGCCTTCATCCTGCGCTCAGGCATGAGGTAGAGGAAGAACAGACAGGGTGGAATAAAGCCACATGGTAGCCTGCAGGCCGTACTGTCAAGCCAGGACTTGAACACTAGACGTAGTGATCGGTTTCCCATCTAAGTCATCTTTTTCTGCGGTCGCTGCTGTAGTATCGGTGCGACTCAATGCGTGCTCGGTCATGCGGAGGAAAGAGTTGCCATTTTACATCAAACCTGACGGGCCGCTTTTCGAACAAATGTTGCGCTACCGGTCAAGCAACTTTTTCTTAAGGAATTAGAACATAATCAAACATTTTGACTCAGTGCGTTTTAGTAGATCTCACACGTGGCTCAATCTTAGGCACTTCTAACAGGTGTTTTGTATCTTGAGAGAAATATAGGTTAGAGAGACAGGGGTTAAATACAGCATTGTTTGCGAACATCTGGCGCAAACAATTACAAAGTATTTCATTAGCTCTTAAAATGTTCCTTATAGGCTGTAAATCAAGAGTGCACTGAACTCTCCTGACAGAGGAGGATCATTTAACTGTTAATCATTACTAGCAATTAGTTCTGTCATTGCAAATCTGTGCATAGAACAATTCCAGATATATATTCCATACTGATAAATGGTCTACATGCAAACAAATAATAAGACCATAAAATAAACAAGATCATAAATATTTGTATACATATTTATTTTACTTACTTTTTTATTATAGGCAAATTCTTTTGAAATGAAAAATACATATTATTTTAGTTTAATAAAATCATTAATTATTACAAACAAAATAAAACAGAATTAAAAACATTAATAGCAATAAAAAAATAAATATTTAAAACGATTATATACTTAATAAACCTTTTATTATATGAATGAAATTTAAATAAAACAAACTTAAATAATAAAGCCGAAATATTAAAATAATATGTTTATATTAGTATAAAAATGTTTTTAAATATTGATATATCAAATTAATGACTAGCAGTATAAAAGGCTTGACATATTAACAGTATGATATACTTTGAGCCTGCAAAAGACTTTAACAGTCTGTAAAAACAGTTTCATATGTGAAAAAAAAAATCGAATAAACTGATATATTTTCAGTTTTTTTCTCTCTCTCTCTCTCTCTCTTTCTGGTGGGGGAAAAAAAAAACAGTTTCACAAACAGCACTTTGAGGAAGCAGATACAATAAACAGTGAGTGATCTACTAAAACATGACTTTAGCTCAACTATTATCTTGAATGTTCCCATATGACACAATTAATTTCTCTCTTCAAGCTTAAGAAAACTGAAAGTGTAGTCTATCGTCAAGACTAGACTAAGTGCACTTTCACTCTCTGACAGCAGATGGCGCTAAACTGCAGAATTAATAATAATAATAATAATAATAATTTATTTAATGCAGCCGTTACCCCGGAAACCCTGTAAACAAAGCAGCTGCACTACTTTCTGTTTCTGAATCGTGTTT